TTGCGTGTATTTCTCGAGGACGCATACGATCGGACTATTCCACTAGCACTCGCTGAATCAATCCGAATCCCTCTCACGCGCTATACAGTACATTAAAACGCAGTAGAATCTCGTCACAACGAACCCCGCGGGACCGAGAGAATTCGTTGTAATGAATTTTCGTTGAAAGCAGATGAAGAATTTCAACCCCAATTTTCACGCTGTAGAGGAGGAGAACTCAATCAAATGCTTGAGTACGTGTTTTTATTATCAAGTTCGACAAGAACGCTTTCAAAAGAAATCTGTCACTTTCTTTTGAACGGGTTTCTTCGTCTGACTGACAAGGATATCGCTTCGATGTGTGAGATCTCGTGAAAGATTAAGTCGGCAACGTTTTCATGCTAAACGTGCTAAACGTCGTCGTCGGCTGTCAAAAAATCCTCGGGCGAAATGTTGTCCTTCAACCCGACAAGCTCCGCAGTCTCGCACCATGATTCATGAAAATGATTTCAAGGCCCGATGAAGCCACTGTGACACCAACATCGGATGATTGTTAGCCCAGATATCTCAGTCCAGGCTGATACGATCATGGACATGGCCAGCTTCACGTCAATTTCGAACTCATTCTGGTTATCGAAGTCGCTGAGGATCGTGCGGAGCGAAGTCGTTCTGTAACGAGTCTTCAGAGCTCGTATGATTCCGAGATCGAGTGGTTATAGGATCGACGTGCAATCAGGTGGGAAGTATTCGACTCGAACATTGGAGAGACGCGGTATAGCATTATGGGCCGAACAATTTTCGACAAGTAGAAGGATCCGTCGGTTTTTTCCCGCTTCATGTCTCGGTCGGATGCTAGCAACCATTAAATGAAAAGCGTCCGAGTCATCCATGCTTTTTCATCGCCGCGGTACTGGCGGGGTAAAGATCGTACATTCTTTGAACATCGCGGTTTCTCTGGCCGCCCGATGATTAGAGGACTTCTCTTGTCCGTGCCGCTTGCGTTGTAAGATAACAAAACCGTCAATCTTGCTTTAGACTTCTTGCCCCCCGCGAAGGAGTCCCCCTTGACAACTGAGGATCGCTCCGGCAACAACTGGAAGAACAAGCCCGTCTCGTCGGCGTTGTGCACGTCAACGAGGTCGTAGTCAGCGATAATGTCCTTCATCTGGTTCTCTCGCCATTCTCTCGCTGTCTCCGTCGGAGCAGCGGCAGATTCTCCGCAAATGACTTCGAAGCGAATTCCGTAGCGTTCGCGGAAGCGGAGTAACCAGCCCTGCCTCGTTCGGAAATCATCATAGCCTAACGCTCGAGAAAATATCAATGATTTCTGCCGAATCAGACGACCTGAGACTGGTAAATTCCTCGAACGCACCCCTCCCAACCAAATGCAGGTTGCTTCGTCGATATCCTCGTGCTTCGCAGTTCTCAATCGCTTGCGGAGCGGATCGAACTCTTGGCCGGATCCTCAATTTTCCCTTCATCTCCGATGAAAGTCGAAAGCGTGGGTTTGCTTATGTTGAATCCCGCAGCGATTTCGATCTTTTTCCTGCCAGCTTTCACTTGAGCCAACACTCTCTGCTCGAATTCGGGAGAATGTTGCTGTCTCTTCCGCTTCGTTGGTGCTCCATCCTCTTTCGAACCGACACATCCAAATACTTTTCCACAAGTGCGCGAAGATTAGTGGATCGATCACCTACAATTCCGAAGCTGTTATTCTGTATCCAGACCCTCCGGCGAGATTTCACCTTAATCTCACGAGAAACGAATACACTTCGAGCGCGGAGAGATCGAAGGTCTCTGCTGCCGCTCTCTGTAGAGTGAATGTTCGCAAACATCGACGCGCGCATGAAACGCACGTGGCGGGAAAGAAATCGTTGCATCGAGCGAATTTGCGGGTGAAATCGGATATTTCTCGTTCGTTATTATGAAAACCAGCTCGGGTGCCGGCCGCAATGCCTCCCAACGCATGGCTCCCGAATATTGAGGCATCGAGACCGCGAGTCAATCGAAGAATCGAGAAATGCAAAAGCAGAGACGCAGAGCCGGATATTGTCGAGTCCTCGGATGAGAGAATACGCGCGTGAGATACTGATTGCCATCGCCGCTCCCCGTGTCCGCGAGCACTCCTGAGTCATCAGAGACTTTATATGAGAGACGTCAGCGTATGAGAGACTCATCGCGGATCGCGTCTCCATGAGATCCCGTGTCGAAGGTCTCGCTTCCAAGAAACTGAAGGCAGCTTTTTCAATTCGGAACGACGTTCCGTTATCTAGCCTCTACGGGGCGTCTTAGGAGAACCGTAGGATGTGTGGGCGGAACTAAGAATGTCGGCGTTTTATACAATTTTGAAAATTCAAACGTTTGACCGCGTGTTACAACAATAGAAAGTCGGCTTTAAGCTCTGAGGAAGTCTCCGAGTTTTCTGCTCCTCTCCGAGTATATCTCATGAGGTATCGTCACTCAATTAGGGCACACTTTGCTTGAGATTATTGAAAATCGTAGGAGAGGTATACAGACGCGGTCACGCGTTTTTGTACGGTTGTAGAGAACCCACCTCAGTAGGCTTGTGTATCATTTACTCAGTATCATTACTCCAGCTATGAGGGCCATGCTGCCATGCACAGCGCGCTCCACCGGCATCATAGCGAGCGCGCGCAGCAATTTCATGCTCGGCACGCAGGCGAGCGCAGTGATTCCATGAGCGCTTCACGGAAGTAGGGCCGAGTTGTGCGAATTCTTCTTCGCAGGGGGGGAAGGTGTCGGAATGCGGACTTGCGTTTTCGAATTTGCACATACAGCCAATGTTGTCGTGTAAATTCTGAGCTAATCGAGAGATATTTAAGGCTTCATCGTGTGATTCGTCGCGTTTTGTAGAGTAGGGGGAGGGGATTCTCTGTAAAGGGGTTCGTTGTAATGCAATTCATTTAAGAGTGTTTCTATGGCGGGCCGACCGAAATATTTTTTCGTTCGTGATACTGAAAAATCGTTGTAACGGTGTTCGTTGTAACAAGACTTTACCGTAGTCCGCTTCACTGCCGAGGGATTATAATTGGGTTTGCAGGAGTATCGCGGAGCGCAATTTTCTTCCGAGTTCCCGCGCTGAATGGCGATTCTCGACGGAGAATGAATGGAGGCCGCGAAATGTCACGGTTGCGGGGAGGAATTGCCGCAAGGAATAAATGCCCCTGATTATGATCTTCTACGGTCCATCATCTTCCCCGCTAGCGCAGAAGTCACGATGAGCTTTGAAGCATTCATGGAAAAAGGGTCGCGAGCCGTGCAAAATAAGCACGCCAGGAGTATCGCGAAATAATACGGAAGGAATGACGTACAGCCTCTGGTTCGGGCAACGTCATCCCCCGCTACATGCATCCACTAAGTTGCGGAATGATGCCCGAGCCTTGGATAAGGCCTAGAATCATCCGTGGGATATCGGACCCCTGCCCCTGCGACCTGACCATTTTCTCGACGGGAGAATTCCTGGTGGGCTCACATATTTTTCCCGGATTGCTAATTGTTATCGACTCCGCAAACGTGCGTATCGCGCTCAGTTTTCCTATATGTCTCAAGCGCAGATCTCGTTCATTGAGCGGGCTAAGCTATGATGTCAAGCTTTAGCCGAGGCGTTTGTCGGAAAATCATTTTTCGTGAACCGTATCGAAATTTCTACGATACGACCGAGATCGCTGCGGCAGAAAGAGCAACAGATTCCCTTAGACCCCGAAATCCGCGAAAACTCAATCTCCGACCTTGTTACCGATACCTCCGACGAAGCCTCTCATCCAGCTTCAACTCCAGAAAACTCGGTGAGTACCTCCTCCGGGAAATACCGTCCCTTGGGGAGCGTCGATGGGCGTCTAGCCGACGGCAATCGCAGTAGAGTGTTCTCTGCTTCAATCGACGCGCCGCGCCGGTGCTCCTGAGCGCAGAAGATCGTCCTTAGGATCGTCATCGAGACTCATCATAGCTCGCAGGAGTTCGTTCCGAAGAAGCAGTGGGTATTCGACGTCGCGTTCGGCTTATTCTTGGTGACGTCGGGAATTCGACAGGTGGTTCGCGACCGGCTATCGGAGGTGAAGTGAAGGTATCAGGAGCGGTACTGAGATACTAGCGTAGGACAACGACAATTCGCAAAGCTGGTCGTCCGCGTTCAGTTGCGGGCATCACGGAGGTGCAGAGGGACACTGCGTCGCTTCACCACAGAGAGAACCTGAAGTATGGAGACCACCTCGGAAAATTGTATCTGGCTAGCTGCTGACAGGCTTTGTCGAGCGAATGCTCGAAGACTGCGAAGTTATGTTTCCTCGGTATGAGGCTGGATTGAAAAGCAAAATGCTTGGAGGTAGGTACTTTCAGGCCGCGAATATAGATCGTGTGTCCTCTGACGAGCTCTCAACCCGACACCAAGTCAGATCCCATCAACACACAGGTCAGGAATGGCTCCTCGAGTTTTCGTGAGATTTCATGCGAGGGATCGCGCAGCTCGATTACGATCCGGAACTGACTCCCAGACCTTCAATCCGATGCTGCAAGAGCGTATCCCCCGGCTGAAATTGAGCTCTCCTCGGTGATTGCGGATGGCCTGAATCTTATGGGAGCCGGGTTCCGAAAAAAGAGAATTTCGTTTAGGGTTGCTGAGAATGAAGTGAATCGAAAAAACGAACCATGAGTCCCATGGCGGCCGCAGACACGCTGCGACAGAAAAATAGCCTATGCTCTCGCGCCGTAATACGACCGGATGTCTGCGTTATCACAGAAAGTCGTTTCCGAGCATGGTGAGCAGGAATCCTTATTGTAACTTCGAAACAGATGGTAAAGGTTGCCACCCATCACTCTCATTATTTCTCGGAAAACCCGAGAGGAGCGAGAGACTGATTCGTACCCGTAGGATGCGTCTCCCACGATGTCGAGCTACGTCATGCAGAAAGTCGACACGATGCCTCATTATTGCCCTGAAGATTCCAGCCTGGAAAATAACGAGGCGATTACGCCGTCTCATCAGCACTCCGCACTTGTGGCTCGCGACGCGCAATCGGCGATCACAGAGGGCTCCAGTCTACACTGGATCGCCCTTAAAACCCGCGGCATTGCGAATCTCAGATCACAACCCGGTACCGACGGCAAGAGATCACAATGAAACTCCTCATCGCTTTTTCTCTGTTCGTTGCGGTGGCGATGGCCCAGGAAGAGTGTGGATGCACTCTAATCGGATCACTCATGGCCATTCTCGGAGAAGGTTCGTGGTATACGCCATCACTCGATTCCTGTGCATATATCATACTCGTAAATCGGATATTCGCCGCTCGAGAGACTAACTTGACCTTCTTATTCAGTCCCAAGCATCCTGACAAGCATAGGAAGTCTTAATCTTCGTGAGTGAAATCAATTCGATATTCTAGCTCAGTTCGAAACTTTCCGCCGGGAATCATTAGCGCCCGAGCTGGAGTCTCTAATTTCCTCCTTCTGAAAGGTTCACAATTGACTCTTCCAGCTGAAGCGATGGGAGGAGTGATGAGTGTTCTCGAAGACGTGGGTCTCGTGAGTAGCATGAGTAGCAGCTAAGGTTCGGGTACCAGTCTACGGCCAGGCAAAATCTGACTACGATGAAACCTCGCATCTGGGGAGAGAATTCTCTTCGGGAGACCCTCCCGGAGAATCTGAAATAAAGCAGGCAATTTTCAATTATCCTTATTCTCTATCGGCACCCAGCGAACAATCGAGTAGTTCCCGCGCCTAGATCTTGAGCATCGATCGAGAAAACTGATGCGAAGCTCTAACTCGACCCTCGCAGAAATGAGGAACTTAGAGTCGGAGACCTGACCGAGCGGAAACTCATGAAGCGTGTGAGCCCAGTCATTTGTGATCCCTTGATTACAGCGCTTCTTCGATATACACTTACTCTCCAGCCCGGAGACGTCGGGAAATCCGGCAATGTTGGAACGTAGGCGGCATGGATAATCTTATCAGCAGGGTTCTCGGACAGGCTCTACGGAGTCCGCTCCTCATCTGGAGGTATAAGGTTCCGGATATCGCTCCGCCAATTAGACTCCGTCGACCGAGAGGTCTGCGGTCTAGGGAAAGCTCCACGAGTGAGGTGACGGAGCGAACCCACAGACAGATTCAGTGATGCACATTAGTTGTGAGAGAATATTCAGAATATTCGGACTTCATCTGTCATAGCGGCTCAAGATCCGACGCGAACGTCCTCCGACATTTTCCCTTCAAGATAGACGGATAGCTTTCTCCCCTGAGTCCTTCAGCTGGGAACGGTCTTCAAGGACGCGAGTTCGAATCGACACATTCCGAGGAACGAGGAAAACCCGTTCAGGCTGCCCTCGATCTCACGATATTCAAAACAGGGAGACCTGTCGCAGAGAAGCTGCATCGCGAGACAATGCCCATGAGCATCTTCCGACCCGAGCGACGCAGTCAGCTCGATTGACTTTGAGAGACAGATCGAGAAAGTGCGCCTGTAGGAGACAGGGTCGAAGTCTTGGACTCACTGGGATCTCATATTCAAAATGGAGAGCGGACGATCTTGCGAGATGTCATGACGTGCCCGGGACGCCGGATTCACAGTGGTGTTTATGAAAAATCCAAATGCACCTGCTAGCGACCCGCTCGAGCTGCCCACCGCTGCCGATATCAAATATTTTGATGATAAGAATGACAGCTGCCCCTTTCCCGAGAACAAAGCTAAGGAATACCGGCTCTGTCGTGATTCAGGGCGAGAGATGATGTGCCGGAGAAAAAAACTCGGCGAAATCAAAGATTCTCCTCTCATTCCTAGAGCGAAACTCTCATTTCTCCCGAGAGATCAAGATCCGATGCACATCCAGAGGTGCCGATGCTTTTTTGAACAAATAATTCAGTCGAGACTCCAGCCGCTTCGTCCTATCATTCCTTCGGTAGATCAGTCGGTCAGAAGTAGAACCGCGAGTCGGCCATACCGCGAGCCAGCTAAGTCTGAACTGAGAAGATGACCTCCCTATGTTGGTTCCGCATTTAGTGGTAGGAGTCCTCCTCGTTCCGAAATTCCGTGACAACCCTGAGAAAAACGCGACTCCCTTCCCTCAAACTGTGTCGAAGT